TGAGCACCCGTATTCCATGTTTAACTTTTCGAGCTGAGTTGACATGTTCGTACATATCTGTCCAGAGATCAATGCAGGCGGTTAATCTGTCTCCAAAACCTTTTCTATGCGCTCAAAAGCAAGTTGTTCACACAATGAAGCCTCTTTCAATGACTTGGTGGGAGGTTACTGGTTTGGAAGCGGGGAGCAGTTGAAGGCTAAATGTGGAAACATTCAAGCTACTCTCTACCTCACAAATCCGTGTTCAAAACTAATCACAGATAAGTTGTTTTATTAGCATTACAAAACAATACGAGCTCTTGGGCAGGATACGGTTAATGCGGTTTATTATGTTATCAGGTAAATTATCCATTCTGGAAAAAAGCTCAAGTTAATTCCAAGCTTTTCGCATAGGTTTGAGTTATTCTAGACTGCAATTATCGTTCTCAAAAGATTCGACTACCATCGAAGAGAGAACAAGGATAAATTCACACAAAGGGATAACAAAACTAATTTATCGAATCTAGTACTTGAACCTTTAGCCATAAAACAACCACCTTGGCGAAACTGGATTTGTGTACTGCAAGAGGATCGCGTTATTAGCTGGGTGATCTAATTTTGTGATCACCTATCGCAAATACACTACGAAAGTCAAATACTTTGTCGGAAATTATAGTATAGAATTTGATTATTCAGCGGGGATGATATTTTGTTGATTCTAGTGTAATTCAGGCCAGAATAAGACTGTAGACTGACTCATTGTAAATAGAGAGTGGACCATCGAAAACCACATTTTGAAACCCCAGCAACAGTACGTGGAATAAAGGATGAATTGCGACTACTCTTCCAAGAGTTATAAGCGTGACCGCGGTTACTATGATCATGATTTGAATCGCATAGATGAACAGCATCAAGACAACAGGAAGGAGCATTGCGAGCGTTTCGTACGAAAGATAAATTTCCTCAATGTTCGGCAGCACCAAGCCCACAGGGATCTTTCCAGGTTATTCTATCAGCGAATGCACACAATCACTCGATACGGAACATAGGATTAATGAATATTGATTGTAAGATTTCGGACTGATTCAGAATGAGTAATTAGCCATGCAGTATATCCCTAACGTGAATGTACATGTGACGTTGATTGATTGCTTGCTCTGGTGTGCACGTGCACGACTGTGGTATGGGTGTGACAAAGAAAACACTGTTAAGAAACATGAGGATTGTTAGCGAACACATTCACCATGTGCCTATCTAGGATCTTTAACGAATTCACGGGCAATCAATGCATCGGACTGATGTTATTTTCACGTGTCATAGTTTTCATTGTTCAGATGTGGTCGCACTCCTGGAATGAGTTCTGGACACGTGGCATCCTGTGCCACGCACAATGTTTATACACGCGAACGGAAGAGACCGTATGTGATGCTCATTCTTCGACCCAACTGAACCGTTTGGGAGGCGATCAGGTCAAGCAGTTCGCATAGAATAACACATTGGATTAGAGTCCATGAGGTCCAGAACAGACCACAATGACATCAGAAAAGGATCTAAAATCTAACAGCTTGTACACCCGAATGAGAAGGCAAAAGGTGAGGAGAGGCGAGTTGAATGAGCATGATCAGGATGTGAGCTCACCCGAACGCAGCACAAACACAAGTTCAGCAGCAACAGTGTCACGAGACTTGTCATTGTGTGTGCGTGCGTGGTATTCTACAAGTGTGATTTTCAGCTAGGCCCTACTAGAACATCATGCACAAACGTGTGCACAGCGGTGTCATATGTGTATGATAAAGAAGACAACCACTCCGAAATCAAATAAACCCAGGTTTGTCGAATTTTGCAAAATGATAAGTAGTAATTGGCCTGTTGATAAAAATATTCAGAACATCTCACTGCTGACAAAAAGCGTTGAAATCAAACTTGACAAAACCAATGGTAAGTATACAAGAATGATTAGCTTTGGTCCACAGTATACAAGAGACAACTTAGGATGTAACCAGACATATATACAAAACAATTTGACAGTATATTTTTCTTCGTCGGTTATTTTTCAATAGAAACTATTCATGTATCTACTTGTTGAACCACCCATGCAATGTTAAAGGGAGAACAGTACATAAGGCAAACAGTGATTGAAGTTTAAAAAAACGTTCTTTAATTGGAAGATTCTAGGTAGCCTCTGTTGCATATAATGCAAAGAAAAGGAACAAAGCGGATAACTTTTTCCAGGATTTGTAAGTGAATGTATTTAAATGACTATCTCTGTGAGGTTGCTGTTTTACTTTACAACTTAGTGTCATGCTGATCACATAGGATATACCCATTAGCCAAAGATGACAGACGAGAACAGAACTGATGACAAAGTGGGTTTTTCAAATGGGTACAAAAGCATTGGTACCTCGTGGCAACACACACGGACGAATAGTTTTTTTTTCTTTGGGAACCGTAACCGGAGCCTTCGACTTGAAAGCCAGACCCGCAAGACAGTGGGGCTAGTCTAAGGCGCCTACCGTAAGATTAAGCAANCAAACGTACAACATAACTAGCAGGACTCGAAATGATGAACCACCCCCTGCCCCCCCCCCACAGGTCGGCTTTACTATTATTCCAGTAGATAGTGGACCTGTTTGTAGCTTAAAGTCACTGGTTACGGTAGTAGTTGATTACATCACTTAACGGATAAATACACTCTGGCGACAACCAGTCAAAGCAGTATACGGGCGGCAGATCTGTAAAGCACACCTCAAGGCATCAGAACACGTTTGTCAGAATGATATATATATATATATATATATGTATATATATTTCAAGTAGAACAGTGAGTGGCGAACAAGCTCATTTTCAGTGATTCGTAGTCATGCCAAATACATCACAACAAATAAATTCAATGCTGCTCACTAGAACATAATATTTACTTTAGAAATGGAAAACGACAACAAATTGGTATTTCTAGACGTCTGTTTGAGTCGTAGATCGGATGGCTCGGTGCAACGATCAGTGCATAGGAAGGCGACTTGGAAGGACCAATATATTCATTTTCGCAGCTTTGTACCGCTCAAAGTGAAGAGGAATTTGGTGCGCTGCCTAGCAGATATAGCAAGGAAAATTTGTAGTGAGGACACAATAGAAGAGCTCCGGTTCTTACGTACTACCTTCACACACAATGGCTACCCAGAACGATTGGTTAGCAAGATGAGTCAGTGCGGTGGAGATATTGTGAAGAAGACCGAGGTCAGAAAGAAGTCGGTATACATTGGGGATACATCAGCAAAGGTAATACAAAGAAGACTATCAGATGCTGTTAGTAATACCTTCCATGCAGCAAAGCTCAATGTTTTGTTCACTTCCCAGCCGATTGTGTGTTTACGACTGAAGGACAAAATGCCGGATTCTGCAG